TGAAGATTTGTAAACATAGTGGTCTTAAGGCTATTTTTGAAAGAGAACAGTTTCCCCTACTGAATTTATTTTGACCAACCAATATTTAGATAATTAAAATATTAAATTATTAGAAAGAGCATGATTTAAGCCTCAGTTCTATGTGATTTGGTATGTCTTAAAAATGTTTTATATATTTTCGCTGCTGCACTTCTGAGCTTAATTAGTTAAGTTACTCTGAGTTAAAATATATCTGAGGTGATATTCTTTTATGCCTTAGAGTACCTTGCATTGCAATATTCTTTTCAGAAGCTGCTTTTTGGCTTATGATGCCTTATACTGCAGTACTTAACATTATGCTGTCCACTGTTTACAAAAGCCTTTTATTCTTTACATTTGTGTGCTCGTAGTTCACACTATAATTACCCATGTTATGCAAGTTTATTATCTGCTGTTAATTGATTATCACATAATATTTATTGTAACTGTTTATTTGGTATTGTATTTATAACGCTGTATATTATTTATTAACAGAGCTGAGGCTTGTGGGACAAACGAAAAGCTGCAACTCTGGGTAATTGTTTAAATGCTCGCATCATCTTTAAATATGAATATATAATTATGAAAATTTCATAAGAGTTTAAGATAGATGTTAGTAACACAAATACGTACTTAGTGATAAGTAATTTAAAAAGTGCCACAGTAAACATATATTTGTTTATATTTTTAATTGAAAATAATTTAGATAACGAACTAAAAATCTTTCACCTTGAAATTATGCCAGAATGCAGAAAATTCTTCTCTTAATTTAATGAATTAATTTTTATTTTAATAGATTTAATTTTTAAATTTATTAGTAAATTAAATATAGATTTTAAGGGTAATTACATTGGCATGAAACACAGCGTACAGAATCGGAAAACAAATCAGGTGAGCTTTAGGAAACCTTAGTTCTTGTGTTTTAAGTAAGAAAGAAGATTAAGCAGGAAATATGGATATAACGTTACTGTTGCATGTTTATTTGTCAACAGTTTCCTTTTAAAGCAATGTGAAAGAAACCTGATTTCTGTGAGTTAAAAAGGTAAATGTTTTCTACTGAGATATTAAAATTATGTTTCTGTACATTTCCGGCCATCAAATTACTTGAAAACAGAGAAGAATTGCCTGCGGAGATAGTGACATGCATGAAAAGGAAAAGTCTCAGTAAAGGAGGAAAACTGTTTACTTTTTATTTCAAGTATATGATAAAGGCCTTCAGATGCCACTGTAACGTCAAATATTTTAAAGTTTCTTGCCAGCGAACTTATTAGATAAACTGTTTTTCTTCTTAATATCTTTATATTTTTAGTGAAGATCGGCAAGAAATCATTTGACCATGTTTTTAAACATGTATGGGAAATTTTAATCAGAGCTCGCGTTCCGTTCTGATTATTTTTTATAGGTCTTATTTTACGACATTTTGCCTTTAACAAATTGAAGTTTTCTGAAAATTACTTTTTCAGTAATAGAGAAAAAACATAAGAGATATTTTTGTGTACGAGCCAATATAAAATCAATAAGAGAAAGTAATATTAAAATCTGTTATTGGAGTTAGTAAAATTGTTTTGGGCCTTAACAAAAGAAGAGATTTTCTTTTCCATTTTCTACTCAATTTTATTTTATTTTCGATTTGCTTCTGCACGTAATCTCTGAGTACAAGAGATTTAAACTAATATTCCAAAAACAGAATTGCAACAGAGGACAAATTAAAAAATAATGATTATTATAACTTAAGTAGTGACATATTTTACCAATTTAAAACAAAATAGTAGTTAGCATTTTATACAGAAAATAATGCTATAAAAATACGCTATATATGTTTCTGTTCAGCTGCGGATGTATTCTCTTCAAAGCCCTATATGAATAATTTCTCTTTCGATTGCAAAACCATCCTAAGAATCTATTCTAATGAAATAATGATCTCAAGAGACTTCGTAGCGTTTTTGTTCTGCTTTGAAATATCAAACCCATAAAAAAGAGAACGGAGAAGGCAAATTAAAAAAAATATTTAATAAATCTAGTCTCTGTTTTTTTAAAAGTAGCTTTCTTTTGCTCTCCTAATACGTCAATCTGATGGCTTGCTAATTACTGGAATACTTCAAGGGAGTCTTTTTAACTTAAATGTGTCAACCACTTCTACATTTTAGCCCGAATGTCGCCTGTGTATTCAACTTGCTAATTTTTAAATTTGGACTTCAAACTGGGCGATTAAAAATTATTATAGGATTTCAGATCTGGAGAGTAGGAGGTTGAGATACAACTAGAAAGTTTGTCTGCACCTAAACGCTGTTATCTTCCAAGATATTGTTACCGCGTTATCGTGTTGAAGTAACCAGTTTCCATCTTTTTACAATCAAGATAAAAACCTCCTCTTTCAGTTGTAACAGTAATAAAACGCGTCAGTCATTGCTTGGTCTGAAGGGACGAATTCTTAGTACGTAATGCCTTTTACGTCCAAATTACAACGCAGGCTTCTTCAACCATCAACAAGTCCTACCTTTATTTCATCTAGGGGAATCTGTGGTCATCCAGTTTGAACTTTTGATTTGAATTATGAATGAAACTCTTATCAAATACCGAGTCGAATCATTCATACGTACAGACACAATACAAAGTACGCTAGATGCACTTACCCTAAAACACTTACAAAGAGCATTCCAGCCACGGCGCAAAAATTGGTTTCATAACGTAAACGTAGAACGAGATTACTTTAGACAAGTAGAGACTTTACTTTTATTAATTTAATCAAGTAGAGACTTGATTTAATTTAGGTACTTTGAAAAATTCTGTTAATGTTTATTACTGAAGCCTTTTTATTACTGAAATTAACGCGAAAAGCTATTTTAATTTTTTCTTCGGTTGAATTCATCAGAAGAAGAAAATTTGATTTAAACTGCTCTAAATTATTTATTAAAGGTACACTTTATAGTTGCAATTTGCATATGTAAACTGTGCAGAAAAAAAAAGGACAGTTCTATGTCTCTCGTTCTACTGGGCCGATTGACGAAATTCAAATTGCGTTTTTCATGTCTAGAAAGCGGGCCCACCAGCGGCCGAGCGGTAAAATCGCTGAACACTGGTAGTTCGGTCCGAGGTTCGAATCCCGCGAACGGGCTGGCTGCATGGGCGTTTTCGTGGTTTTCCCCATGTGTAACGTGTATACGAGCCAGTTTCCCTTAGAAAGTCCTCCACGAAGGCATCCCTCCTCTTAGGCAGATAGACGTCGAGGCTTTGCCATAATCACACACACACATGTCTTGAAAGCGCGACTTAGGATATATATATTATATTTTTCTAATATAGGTATTTTGACACAAAATCGAACTTTTCTGAAATGACATGCCAATTTTTTTCCATATTTCGATTCTACGACTCAAATTATGCCTAACTGCCAAGTTTTGTAAAAATCGCACGAGTAATTTTTAAAAAATTAGCTCTCAAAACTTTAGCTCCTCGATGTTAATTGAATTTGATATAAATTTATTAATATCTCTTATTTTATTAAACTTACTTGATTCTTCCTTTCACTTTTCAAAATTTAGGTTTATCCAAATAAAATTCGCCAATTTTTTATGATTTATATTTTAAATTTGTATTTTTAGATAACTTTTATAAATTTTTCGAAAAACATTTTAAATAACAACCTATAAAAGTTTTGCCCTCACATTAAAATAGATGCATTTCTAAGCATACCTGATAAAAGTTAGAGTTTTTTATTCAAAATTTCCTAAGATATACGTGAATTTAGATTTTTGCGCGTTTTGAAATTTAGCGTATTTATTATAAGCGATAAAAACGAAAATGTGTTGTACGCATTTTGTTAAAATTATTTGAAAGTATAAACGATGAATTTTTCCCCACTTGTGCACAAAGAAAAAACGCGAAGGAAAATAGGTTGCCATAAATTAAGAAGTTCGCTAAGTGAATTATTCTCGGTGCAAACTAAAAAAATTCGCCAAGGTAAATTTTCAAATTTCTCCATAAATTTCGCACCAAACTTTACAAAATTTAATATTTAGGCATAATTTGAGTTATAGAATCGAAATATGGAAAAAAATTGGCATGTCATTTTAGGAAAAGTGTCCGATTTTGTGGCAAAATACCTATATTAGAACAATGCTATAAATAAATGTAATATATATCCTAAGTCACGCTTTCGAGACATGAAAAACGTAATTTGAATTTCATCAATCGGCCCAGTAGAACTGGAGATATAGAATTGTCCCCCTTTTTTTGGCGCAGTGTACAAATCATCATAATGTATTTTGATGTGTGACTTCTATTTCTAAATTATGTTTATTCTTTTACTTCGTATTTATTATTGAAGTCTTGGTGCAACTTTGTTAAGTTTTATTTTTATATTACAAATGATGAATGATAACTTCATACCTTACAAAATATTCTACCTATATTAATTCTAAATGTTTAACAGGAAGCTATTCACTTTTCTTTCTTTATAAGAATTAAAATGGCTTTAAAGGGCTATTGAAAAGTATAAATATGCAAGTATCATTGGTCAAATCATTAAAGTAGCTTCAAATATCATAAGAAGAAAGATTAAGAAAATAATTCCTGTGTATAAGGAGGTATTAGTGGATATTATAGTGCTTGAAGAGAAAAGGGCACGTATCTCTCCATCGGTCCCAAATTTCAAAGCTTGTAGATAAAAAATGTTCATCGGATGTGAACACTTGTGTTTTAGTTTAATGATAAATATTTTGGACATTATTTGTTAATACAAGTTTCATTCATTCATTAATACAAGTCATAGCTTCCTGTTTCAAATTATAATGTGTAGATTATTATGACGTTTCCTGTTTCAAATTATAATGTGCAGAACGTTGTTTGTATCACCATTTTCTTTTAAGAAAAATTAATATTTTATCAGTTTCTGAGGTGTAACTAATTTAGAATTAGCCTTCTTTTCGTTGCCAGATAAATTGTTCAAACAATCACCTAAAATAATAACTGCATTATTTCAGGTACTATGCCTACCGGCGGGATGGTGGGTTTGGTAATGGAGCGAGTTAAATTCTTGCCGCTGCTGACATCTTCATGCATGTTACTTGCAGTTTCCCTACCTTATCTCGTTGCTGTCACTTTGGAAAAAGTACATATGTTCCTGCCTTATATCAGGTAATTACAGTACTTTTCTAAATATATTTCAGATTTTCTTAAAAACATTTACTTTCACAAACTTCTTAAAATTCAGATTAAAGTACTGTCTTTTATATCCGATGGCAGATTTAGATACAAAATTACAAGTTAGGAAGAGTTTACTTAATAGACAGCCTACAGTTTACTTATTTTTTCAGACAGAGAAATAATCTGACAGTGCTATGCTGAGTATATTTTCCTTTTTCTGGAAGATTGTAAAATTTAAATAGCTTCTTGTCAAACCTACGATGTAACTATAGACAAAAATTATAGCTAAGTAACAACTGAAACTTAAGAAGGGTGTAAAAGATCCTTTATTATAAGTAAATAAGAACAGAAGACACACCTTATGCTTAAAACTCAGCCAACCACTTGTAACGAGATAATTTAAGTTAACAATAAGTCAGATGTAAAATTTTATTTCAAATACATTAGTAACAGAAAACTACACAATCAATTTAATGCGTAATTGGCTCAGAACTTAACCGGCGCGGAATTCACCTTACATCGGCAATTATAATGCAAGGCCGAAGACAAGAAATCTTATCTCAGACGGTGACCTAGTAACGTAGCCACGAGAGGCAGAAAACGTTCTATCTTTCAGTTAGAAAAAGCTAAACTAGAATACACGCGAACTAATTTTGCATTCTGGCTGGAAAACGGAATGGAAGAAGTGACAGTACGGATCCAAAACACAAAATAACTGGTTAATTAACGTAAAAGAGCCTTATATGGTCTTCGGAAATATGTGTTTAATGTTAATGTAAGCATTTGTATGTAAAATCGTGTATTATTGAAGAGAGATATAACTTTATTAAAATAAACTTTGAATTATGAGTTTCTCCTGTGGGAAAGCTATTCATAACTGCGATTCAGCAAAGATTTCTCGAAAAATGTTAAATTAAAAAAAAAAAAAAAAAAATACAACTTGCTCGGTTACGCATTATCAGGGTTTACCGTAATAAACCTTCAAGGTGAAAGCAAATAATGACTCAGAGGTGTTAAAACGGTATTTTTTATTTCTTTCTGAAAACATATGTTATTACTTAGTCACTATGCAAATTACAATGTTACAGAACCTCTCCTTTTATAAAAACGGCTTCTGTGCTACAATTCTCTTTTCAGCTGTGAATGCCAGAAATGAATTAGAAATTTCAGATATGCATTACAAAAAGTTAAATGTTCTCGCAATATGTGTAATCGTTTCTGAAATGTCTAAATAAGTAATTTTAGAAAACTATCTCCTCTTATTTTATCCATACTTTTAAATTTGAAAAATTTAAAAGATGTATTTTTAGTTTTCTAATTATATATCATATTTTAAAAATCTCTTCTGATCAAATTTTAATTCAAACGCAATTTTCTATCATGTAAAAATTACGATTATATACGTCTTAAAAAATTAAAGGATCAGTTTTTTATCTTGTTTTTTTAAAAAAAATATACATGAGATATAGATGCTTGTTTTTTAAACAAATTTCAGTGAATGTCTCTATGTAGTCATGCAAACGTAAACCTTTAGAAAAATTGGCATACAAAATCATTTAGTTTAAGAAAACAAATATAACCTCAAGCTTTTATTGATTTACAAATGCTTCAGCATGCCGAAGTAAAAAACTTAAAATTTGTTATTCTGACAATTTTATATAATATTAATATGCCATGTTGTCTCCCCAAACTACTAAACTATCTAAACATCTAGGTGACATTGAATTTAATAAAGTGATCTAGGAAACTCTCAGTTTGTCTTTTTCAATTTTCAAATAAGACAATATGTAGGAAAGGCCTTAACCGAATAGCAATAGGTTCTTCTTGGATCCAGGTTGGATAAACATGCCAGCACTTTCATATCTTCTAGTCAACCTTTAAAAAGGGGAATATATAAGGTATTTCTCCCGCCTTCCCAGTGTACCTCCGAGGTGTAGTGGTTCCGCACTCTGGGCCGTTAATCCAGAGGTCCGTGGTTCGATTCCCGGCGAAGGTGTTTGCTCATTTTTCATCTTGCCTGCTTCCAAAAATACCTAATGTCTCTACAACTTTACCTAGATTTCATTTTTGGATCTTAAGGCATTCGTTCTGGAGTCTGAAATACATTCTATCATGTTCTTCTTCTAAAATTTCCCTATCCTTTCTTTTTTGTAGTTTGCATAAATTTAATGCCCATCGCTAAGGATCTTTCTAATTAACTACTACCAAGGTTAATTGTATGAGGTGTTTAGTATGTTACGAATCCTTGTTTGTATACAAAGAATATCTGTATTCAAACTGACATTTTTTGATGAGATAAATTTTGGTCTATTATGTAAAATAAAAACGACTATCAGTTTCTCCCGCACATCTACTACGGATGTTTTACTCAAGTCTCTGCTTTTTATTTACTGGCTGATAAATTTATATGTACTGTATTGATCTCCGATGCTTCTAACTTTACTAAAGTATTTTCCAAATACATAATTTCTTCAGAGATTTACTGTCTGAAGGTTGACTTCGAGCGATATGTTTTCTTGCGAGTAGCTTTAAAGAACAGCTGTAGTAATTCTGGCTTAATTAAACTATTAGTATTGAGTACTACAAAAAAGGATACATATTTACAGTTACAAAGTTTCTAAAATATTGGGTACAGAGTTTTATGAAACCTACCTCAATACTGAGAGGAAAGCTTCTATAGGTATAAAATGTAACTTTCCCTGTGGTCACCGTAGAGCAAAATGTTCGATTAATAAAATGCTCATCAAGCTTTAATAAGTTAAAAACAAATAGTTACCTATCTTCATCAAGGACGTTCGCAGAGATACGCATAGTTAAATATTTTCATAGATCAGTTATAAATTCAATAAAATACTATTGCGCACTAAGCCAGCGTTTCCCAAAGTGTGGGTCGCGACCCGGCACTGGGTCGCAGAAAACTTCAGCTGGGTCGTGGCAAAAATTGTAAAAACAAAAAACAAAACAAAACAAAAAAATCTATAACATTTTGCTCTAAATTTAATATTTTTCGAAACTTTTTCAAGTACTGCAGGTAGCAACTCTTTACCGCCGTTTCCTACCAGACCGTTTAAATTCGGGTGCTCTGATTGGCTGATTTCCGATTCGTCATTTAGTGCCTTCTCCGGTACATGCGCCGTAAACTCACGTGTATCAAAACAAGGTTATGCTTTAATTTTGTTACCTATTTTATTTGACAATAGTTATTATTACCTATTATTTAAAATATACACAGATTTAAATGATGATGATCAACCAAGCACAAGCAAAGCTGAACATCATGATCGTGAAGAAACAGTGCCTAAAGCACCTAAATCAGATATACAGTGCCAAAATAAGTGTAAAGCTACTTGGAATCGAAACTATTGTGACGAATATTTACGTTTTGAGTTCAAACAAACGGCAGTCAAATTAATTTGCCACTATGTGTTATTTGCAATGAGCAACTTTTAAATGAAAGTACGAAACCGTTAAAGTTGAAAAGGAATTTAAACACACTCCATTCTGAGTACTCTGATAAGCCAATTAACTTTTCTACCGATAAGAAAAATGAATTGATTGCTGCTAAAAAATACACTCTTACCTCACCAGTCAAATAAAAACCTCACTTTGACATTTTTTTGAAATTTCCAAATTAATAGCTGAAACTGGGTATCCTCATAGTGCTGGAGAAAAATTAATACTTCCCTCTTTGAAAATTGTCGCAAATAATTTATGCGGAATAAAGGAAAAATATTTATTTTCAGCGATACCATTATCAAATAATACAGTTAAACGGAGAATTGATGATCGCGCGAAACATTTAGAAGAAGAACTAGTTGCTCAAGTAAAAAAGAGCAAGTTTTATTTCTTGCAAATAGATGAAATCACAGATATCGAGGATAATGCAAATGTAATGTGTTTTATCAGATATATTGACGAAGACACCATACAAGAAAATTTTTGTTTTGTAAAAGGCTACCGACAAGAACGACCTCAGATGAAATTTTTAAGGCTACCAATTATTTTGTCACTAGTCACGGTATTGATTGGATGAAGTGTGTTGGGCTAAGTAGCGACGGAGCACGTGCAATGGCAGGCTGTCATAAAGGTTTGTTTAAACAAATTCAAGAATTAGCAATTAATTGTGTATGAGTGCACTATAGTATCCATAAACAAGCGTTGGCGGTAAAATGAATACCTTTAAATTTAAACATGACTTTGGAAGAATGTGTCAAGTTTGTAAACTACATAAAGTCTCGTCCATTAAATAGCAGACTTTTAATAGAATTATGCAAGGAAATGGGGAATGATCATAAACACCACCTTTTGTATTGTAATTCACGATGGCTTTCAAAAGAAAACGTTTGAGCTAAAAGACGAAGCCTTGGTATTTCTGAATGAACATCCACCATCTGAAAAAGATGCTATTTTTTCCATTTAAGGATAGATCCCACGATTTCAAGTGGTTAATAAAAGCAGCTTTTTTGCGCGACATGCACAAATTTGTGATTTATGCTACATTCAATGAATTGAATTTAAATTTGCAAGGCTTTAGTTTAAATATTTTCAAAGTATCGGAAAAAGTCGCTGCAATAATTAAAAAAATGACTCTGTGGAAACAACGACTTTCAAAAGGAAATTTTAAATCTTTTGAAACATTACATAAATTTATTGAAACCCATTCAAACTACGATGAAGAAGATTTAAATCTTGAAACACTATCAGTTTCAATTCAAGAACATCTTTTGGAGCTAATAAATAGTTTTAAAGACTATTTTACGGATATTCCTTCAAATAATATGTGGATTAAAGATAATTTTTCTGTCGATATTGAAAAGGAAGAATCTTAGTGAACAAAAAGTTGACAATTTAATTGAAATTTCATGCGACACCGATCTTAAAAAAGTGTTTGAAACTGTACCACTAATTAATTTTTGGTTTCGCTGTCAAAAGGAATATCCAAGCGTAAGCGAAAAAGCGATACAATTTTTAATGCCTTTTGTCACCACTTA